CGAGTTTCGAGGCCCGATGTAGAAAAGAATTTAAATTTTAGGGGACACATATCGAGGTCATATAATACTGTTTGGAACTATTTATGATCATTATATGTTGTCATAAATATTCGTGGTAGGCTTGATTTAATGTAATTGGTATTAGTTGTAAACCGGTATGTAAATTGGTCGTTTAAAAGAAAATTGGATAGTTCAACCCACCCAATTGGACTCTCGGACGGTATTAGGAACCATGGTAAAAATTTCGGCAATTTTTTATTTCCGAGCGAAAAAAAGTCGAAAAATTCCAAAATTGAAAGCTATTATCCACGCTTTTTGAGAAATTTTGGAGATTTCGGGTCACGGTGTCGAAAAGTTTTGAGATTTTAGGGAATATATCTCGGGTTCATATAATGATGTTCGGAACCATATATGATCATTATATGTTGTCATAAATGTTCGTGGTAGGCTTGAGTTAATGAAATCGGTGCAAGTTGTAAATCGATAAATTGACCGTTTAAATTCAAATTGGATGGTTCCACCCAACCAATTGAACTTCTAGAGGGTATTACTGACCATGGTAAACATTTCGGCAATTTTTATTTTCGGGCGAAAAAAAGTCGAAAAATTCCAAAATTGAAGGCTAATTATCCACGCTTTTTGAGAAATTTTGGAGATTTCGAGGCTCGGTGTCGAAAAGTCTCGAAAATTCAAGGGATGCATTTCGGGGTCATATAATGCCGTTTGAAATCATGTATAATCATTATATGTTTTCATAAATGTTCGTGGTAGGCTTGAGTTAGTGAAATTAGTGCAAGCTGTATACCGATAAATTGGTCGTTTAAAGGCAAACTGGATGGTTCCACCCATCCAATTGGACTCCCTAAGGGTATTAGGGACCATGGTAAACATTTCGGAAATTTTATTTTCGGGCGAAAAAAAGTCTAAAAAATTCCCAAATTGAAGGCTAATATCCACGTTTTTGATAAATTTTGAAGGTTTTGAGGCCCGATGTCGAAAAGAATTTAAATTTTAGGGGATACATATCGAGGTCATATAATGCCGTTTGTAACCATTTATGATCACTATATGTTGTCATAAATGTTTGTGGTAGGCTTGATTTAACGTAATTGGTGTTAGTTGTAAACCGGTATGTAAATTGGTCGTTTTATAGAAAATTGGATAGTTCAACCCACCCAATTGGACTCCTAAACGGTATTAGGAACTGTGGTAAATTTCGGCAAATTTTTTTTTACGGGCGAAAAAATTCAAAAATTGAAGACTTATATCCATGCCTTTTGAGACATTTTGGATGTTTCACGTCACGGTGTCGAAAAGTTTTGAGATTTTAGGGAATACATCTCGGGTTCATATAATGACTTTTGGAACCATATATGATCATTATATGTTGTCATAAATGTTCGTTGTAGGCTTGAGTTAATGAAATCGGTGCAAGTTGTAAATCGGTAAATTGGTCGTTTAAATGAAAATTGGATGGTTCCACCCACCCAATTGAACTCCCGGAGGATATTAGTGACCATGGTAAACATTTAGGCAATTTTTATTTCCGGGCGAAAAAATGTCGAAAAATTCCAAAATTGAAGGCTATTATCCACACTTTTTGAGAAATTTTGGAGATTTCGAGGCCCGGTATCGGAGAGTCTCGAAAATTTAAGGGATGCATTTCGTGGTCATATAATGCCGTTTGAAATAATATATAATCATTATATGTTTCCATAAATGTTTGTGGTAGGCTTGAGTTAATGAAATAAGTGCAAGTTGTATACCGATAAATTGATCGTTTAAAGGCAAGTTGGATGGTTTCATCCACTCAATTGGACTCCCAGAGGATATTAGGGACCATGCTAAACAATTCGGCAATATTTATTTTCGGACGAAAAAAAGTCAAAATATTCCAAAATTATAGGCTAGTATCCACACTTTTTGAGAAATTTTGGAGGTTTCGGGGACCAGTGTTGAAAAGTCTTGAAATTCTAGGGGATATATGTTCATATAATGTCGTTTGGAACAATATATGATCATTATTTATTTTCATAAATGTTCGTGGTAGGCTTAAGTTAATGAAATCGGTGCAAGTTGTAAACAGGTAATTGGTCGTTTTAATGCAAATCAGATTGTTCCACCTACCCAATTGGACTCTCTGAGGGTATTAGTTACCATGGTAAACATTTCGTCAATTTTTATTTCCGGGTGAAAAAAAGTTTTTTAAAAAAAATCCAAAATAAAAGTCTGATATCCACGCTTTTTAAGAAATTTTGGGGATTTCGAAACCCGGTGTCGATAAGTCTTGAAATTCTAATGGATACATCTCTGGGTCATACAATGCCATTTGGAGCCATTTATGATCATTATATGTTGTCATAAAAGTTCGAGGTAGACTTGATTTAATGAAACCGGTGAAAGTTGTAAAGCGGTAAATTGGTTGTTTAAAGGCAAATTGGATGGTTTCACCCACCCAATTGGACTACTGGAGAGTATTAAGGATCATGGTAAACATTTCGACAATTTTCATTTTCAGGAGAAAAAAATTCAAAAATTTTCAAAATTGAAGGTTAATGTCCATGCTTTTGAGAAATTTTGGAGGTTTCGAGGCTCGGTGTCAAAAAGTTTTGAGATTTTGGGGAAAATATATGGGGTCATATAATGCCGATTGGAACCATATATGATCATTATATGTTGTCATTGATTTTCGTGGTAGGCTTGAGTTAATGAAATCGGTGCAAGTTTTAAACCGGTAAAAATTGGCCGTTTAAAGGCAAATTGGATGGTTTCACCCACCCAATTGGACTCCCGGAGGGTATTAGGGATCCTGGTAAACATTTCGGCAATTTTTATTTCCGGGTGAAAAAAAGTAAAAAAAATTCCAAAATTAAAGATTAATATCCACGCTTTTTGAGAAAATTTGTATATTTCTGGTGGAGCTGTCAATTCGGGTAAACGAGTGGGTTTGGGTCGGTAATAGTGGGTCGGGTCAACTCGGATCGGGTCAATTCGGGTTAATTCTATAACCTATGCGGTTCGGGTTTGGGTTGGGTAATGCTTTAGCCGGGTCATACTTCTTATCGGGTTTGGGTCGGGTTAATAACAGGTCAGGTTACATTCGGGTCGGGCTAAAAATAGGTTGAGTTTTCACGGGTTAAAACGAGCTAGGTTAATTCTCAGGTTCGAGTCGGGTTCGGTTCAAATCAGTAATTTGCGGGTTATAATCAGGTCAGGTCATTCTCGGGTTTGAGTCGGGTTTGGTTCTAGTCAATAATTTGTGGGTTATAATCAGGTCGGATCAGTTTCGGGTTCAAGTCGAGTTCGGTTCAAGTCAATAATTTTCGGGTTATAATCAGGTTGGGTCATTTCCAAGTGAGGTAATATTCGAATTCAACTATCTATAAATAGATAATTATCATTTTTATCAAGCTAGTTATTTCCTTTGACTATGATATGTATGGCAATATACTAGGGAACTATAGTTTATAAGTTAGGAAGATAATTATTTCCTTTGACCATACAATAAATATATACTATATTTAACTGTTAAATTTGAGGATGATGCTCCTTTCTTTTGCTGGCCTGGACCGACTTGGTCTCCCTAAACAAAATGCTTTGATAAACAATAATAAGGTGGTTTAAGTTGCATTTAAGGTGATTTGAAATCTGGTCAGGAACAATTTGGGTTGAATTTAGGTCGGGTCAATAACAAGTCGTGTTGATTACGAATAGGGTTAGTAACAGATTGGGTTGAATTTTTAGGTCGGGTTAGTAATAGTTCCGGTAAAATTCGGGTCGGGTCAATAACAAGTTGGGTTGATTTCGGGTCGGGTTTGTAACATGTTTGGTTAAATTCGGTTCGGGTTAGGAACTGGTCGGGTTGAATTCAGGTCTGGTTAGTAACAAGTAGGGTTAAATTCGGGTTTTGACAGGTTAAAACGGGTTTGAGTCAATTCGGTTCAAGTCGGGTTCGGTCCAGGTCAATAATTTACGGGTTACATTCAGGTCGGGTCATCTGCAGGCCAGTTCATGTTCGGGTTTACATACTCGAGTCAAATCGGGTCTAGGGTTGGTTTCAGGTCGGGTTTGTGTCACCATTTTTTCGAGTTCAGATGTGTCGGTTAATAATCATGTTTGAGTCGATATTTCGGATCGGGTCAACTTTTGGCAGCTCTAGTAAAAACATCCCTCCCACAAGGCTATGGATCTTTATGTGGCCAAATAATAGGTATAAACTTCTATAGTTCTATGTCTCCAAATAACCATTTATGCCCCCAAAATATTTCTCACCAGTTTTCGACACTAGGTTCCAAGATCTCCAAAATTGATCCTATCCAAGTTTACTACAGGATTCCAAAATCTTGGATGAACTGAACTGAACTGATTGGAGCTGAACTAAACTGAACTGGTCCATTTTTGTGTAATACACTCATGACTCATACACGATTTATGCTTTCAATTTAACCTTCGAACATACATTTTCAAACAAGTCAAAAAAGAAATGTAACAAGATATTGCATAATGTTTGTTAATTTCTTATATAATTATAATATAAATTCTTTGTCAAAAGTTTATAAGATCCATTTTGTAACGAATTTATGAATATCTTGATTTATTTTGGAACAGAAACAAACATCATAATGTTAAAAGCTCGTCCCTTTAATTTGAACATTCAATTTCCTTCAGAAAAGATACCACAAGTCTCACAATCACTAAATAAATACTCAAAAATTACAGTCAATAAACACAACACAGCAGTAAAATAACATTTGGTCATATATTCCATAAAATGCCTAAAATGAATAAAGAGTAATAAAAAGAAGTAATCAACAATAATTACTGCTAATATAGAGTATCAAATGTCACATTATTACTTAAACAAAAATAAAATAAAAAACACCAAAAAAAAAATAATAATAATACATGATAATCTATTGGAGTAATATCTCCCATATTTTTTTTTCATCATAATAATAATAATTATTATTTTCTTGAAAAATAAAAAATGAAACTAAAAATCACACATTAGAATTAGACACAACTTTCTGAATTCCCTTATTACCCTCAGCAGGAACACTGGTTAAACCCGGTGGAGCAGCAGTTACCGGTCTCATTTCACCACTCCCATTTACCGGAACTCCCTGAAACGGCGTCGTTACGACTCCCGCACTTCCCGGAGGCGCAGCATAGTACACCTGTCTCCCACTTCCGTTATCGTACGCCACCTGCGTATACCCCTGATTTTCCGCACCCATCGGTCTAGCCGGTAACCCCATCCCTTCTGAATAACCTCCTCCCATCTTCCCTGACCCCATGTTGTACACCTGCTGCTCCCGGTAAACCTGATCAGATGGCACTCTTTGCATCTGGTAGTACCCTTGACTGGGTTGTCCGGTTACCGGTCGCATCATCGGCGCGTGGTAAACATTCCCTGGTGGTGGCGCGTGAACCATGTATACCGGCTGTTGTTGCTGTTGCTGGTGTTGTTGTGGATGTTGCTGTTGTTGAGGATGAAACTGCTGGTGTTGTTGCTGCTGTTGTTGGTGATGGAATTGTTGTTGGTGGTGGTGCTGAGGTGGCATCGGTTGTTGCTGTTGCGGTGGTTGTTGTTCGACGTTGACCTGTTGAGGAGGCGGCGGAGGTTGCCAGTAACCCGCCGGAATTTGAACAGACGACGGAATATTAGCCGGAGCAGTTGCCGCATAGTTTGCTTCCTCGCTTTTTTGCCGATTCATCTCCTGAACCGAGATCTGCATCCTGTTCATCTCCTGAATCCGCGCTTCAATTTGTGGATCCGGTTCATGCCGTTGTTGAACCGGTACCGGAATCTGAACCGGAGCTTGAACCGGCGCCGGAATTTGCGCCGGACCTTTATCTAAACCGAATAAGAAATCCATATTACTGTTGACGGCCGCCGGAGGAGGCGGCGATGGACCGGAATTCAAAGCCTCGACGAACCGGTCGGATTCACGGTCGATCTTACCAGGATCCGACGAAGTAGATCCAAACGAACCAGATTTATGAATCGGAAAGAGAAAAATCCTTAATCGAGCCGGTTTAGTTGAACCGCGATAAAGTCGATCGTATTCATGCATCATATTCTCCAAATCATCGTCGTTTGTGACGGAAATCAAAGCGTCGAGTTCTTCACCAGGAAGCTGGTATTTGAAGATGAAACCACCAGAAACGGCGTCGTTCACGGCAGACTCCGATGCGAGAGTCGACGAAAGCTTAGAATACAACGACGCGAATTTAATCGATCGATCGACGGCGAGAATTTTGGTTTCACCGCCGACGTAAGCGAGGAGATTATCATGAGAACGAGGTTGAATTCTGCCGCCATAACTAACCATGAATTTGACCTTGTGGTTGAGTGAAGATTGCGGCGGTTGCTGCTGCTGTTGCTGCTCCTCCCATGGCGGCGGAGGATTCTCGAAGTCGATTTCACGGGAACGAGGAGAAGAATCGCCGGAATCTGGGTAGGAATACGAAGGAAAATTCTCCATTTTTAGGGGTTTGAAGGAGGAGAGAGAAGAATTTGGGGGTGGTTTTTGAGGAGAGAGAAAATCGGGGAAAAAAGGGGGTTAAGGGAAAGGAAGCATGGTTGTGAATTGATTGGAAAAGTGGAGAGAGAAAGAGAGAGAGAGTGAAGAAAGTAAAGAAAGAGAGAGAGGGTTTGTTTTAATATATGTTGTGCGGCGAGGGGGAGTACAGTTGGACTTCCCTTTTTCTTTAGGTTTATTGTGGGTTTACTCACTCGTCTTCTGTAAGGACTGCTTGCTCAGTTGGTCTAGTGGCTGAGGTTGGCTAGAGTTCGATTATTCGAGTTTATTCTATTCGACTTATTTTGATTTCAAGTTACTCGTAAAATAGACCACTCTTAATAAGATATGGAGTATGGGGATTAACATATTTCAGTATTTAATACGACTAATTGTTGAATAGAGTGATTGTGAATGATTTTAGATGAAATAATTCGAATACTCGCTGAGGTTGAAAATGGAAAAGAATCTATTCTATTTACGTTTTTTATTTGCATAATATATTTTAGATACGAATTAAGTATGTAAAAGGTGATTTAGAATGACTTTAAATGAAATGATTAGAATACTCGCGGAGGTCGCAAGTGAAAAAAGATATATTGTATTTACGCTTTTTCCATAATAAAATTAGATATGAAGTAAGCTATAATAAGATAAAATCAAGGAAATTTGTGTTTATACAAGTTTAGATAGGTTTTTAGGATAGTTGATAAAGATTATCCAAGTTCTTTGAAATGTAAATTATAATGAGTTGTGAAAAGGGTTGATAAGTTCAGAAAAATTTAGACATGATAAGATTAGTTTAAATAAGAAAATCAGGTGAGTTAGGCACACTATTAGGTTTAAATACATATAAGAGGCTCCATGCCAATGAATTCCAGCTAAAACATGAGTAAAAATTTCTTACCCTTAGTCTTTGAAAATTCAATATGAATGTAATATCCATCTTCGCTTTTTATTTAGGATTTTCATTATCAATTTTATTTGTTTTAAATTTTAATTAATTACTTTTATGAGAAAAAAATGACATAAAAAATTGAGTCCTACATAGTAGGGATTACAATTTACTTAAATAACAACTCCTTTCCATCCTAAAACAAGTATCTAACATTATTCCTTGATAAACTTGTGTATATAGACTTGGCTAACCTCGTGTAATAAAAATGATCATCCTTTGGAATATTAAAATGTGATAGTAATTTCCCAAATACTTTGCATATTTCATAAGAGGGATTATACTAATACGAGTGATTGATTATTCATAATTATTTAGTGCTAAAATATTTATTTAGTTAGTGTTGCACGGTGTTAATATCAAGTGATACAGATTAACTAAGACAGTTGTAATAAATTATTTTACTCAATAATTTTGACTTTTGTATGTATGATGGGGATGAGTTTGACTTTAAAACAAAAATACACTTTTATCTCTTAAGGCCTCTTCTTTTTGGCTTAATTTCATTTCAATTCAATTTCTAATTTTAATCTCTCATAAACTGTTCTGTTCAGCTTAGCTTAGTAAATCAAAACAGACCTTATACTTCCAACTAAAGTTTCTTAAAACCTGTTAAAATTCCCCAAAATAGTCGTTCTTTTAGGGACGGAGGGAGTATAAGGAGTATACTTTTGGAATTTTAATCGGTATCTTGTTTAAAGATAACTTGAATTATGCATTTTTAAATGATAGTCCAAATTTTTATTTCAAAAAAAAAAAGAAAAAAGATGATAGTCCAAATTTAATAATTTGTGTACCTGGTACGAAGTATAAAAAGGATTCAGTATAACCTTTGGTTGCAATTTTTTCCTTTTTTCTGTCCTTGCACTATCAAATTTATCAATTTTTCAGTCTCAGCAACGATGGAATTTAATGTCTCATTTATTACACCAAATTACCAATAACATATACTCCGTATGGCATTTTTAGCTTATTTTTTGAAGAAATTTGATCGAGTATGACACTCGATTATGACTGATGAGTGTGTGATAAATTGATTATGGAGGATAGATGTTCATGGTGATATGGTATACTTGACAACAAATTTATTCGATCTCTTTCTATTTTAAGATGATAGGTTTGATACTCCGTACCATTCATGTCACTAGAAAGCTCATATTCATCTTCGTATATAACATGGATACAAATGGTTTATTTTTATTTGAAAAAAAACCAAATAATTCAGGGATTTAAAATTTGTTACACAAAAAACCTTATGACTATAAAAGCACCACTTAACTCAAAGTGTATAAAACAATTGATATTGTGTTTAATATCAAAGAATGTATGTACTATGTAACAAGATACGAAGTATATTAACACAAAATAAAACATAAAAGTCGTACTAATTTATATTATTGAAATATCTGCTCATAACTTTATAGATCTTGGAAAATAAGGGGAAGATAAAATAATTAGAATGTAGGGTCAAGAAATTAGGCAGTGATAGTTGAGGTTGAAAGAGGATAGGAGAGCGATTGTATTGAATATTGACTAGAAATTGAAAATAAAGACTTAGACTTTAAAGAGAGAAAAAGGAAAAATGAGTAGGGTGTAATTAATTTTATTAAATTATGTAAACATGATTACATGAATAATTAAGGTGGTGGACATGGTGGGCTAACCTCTAATTTCAAGAAACAAGCACTATACTAAGAGCAAGTTTAGCCACAAGTCTTAAGACTTAGGGTGACATCATCATTTTGAGTCTTAAGACTTATGCTTAAGACTTTTTCCATTTTTCTTCAAAAATCTCAAGCAAGTCTCAACTCAACTTGAGATTGGGACCCACTTCACCCACCTCAATTTTATTTTTATTATCTCTTTTTTTTTTTATACTTTTCTACATATAATATGTAAAATGTTTAAAGTCTTAGGGCTAAAGTGATAAATTTGTGTAAGTCTTAGTGAGTCATAACAAGAATTTGATGACATCATTTTCAATGGGGACCACCAAAAATGATGTCATATTCAAGTCTTAAGACTTGGGGCTAAACTTGCTCTAAGTATCTCATCTAGTTTAAAAAAAAAAAATGTTACTAATAAGTAATAATCCATACTTAAGTTGTATCATCTGTTATCTATCCATCAATCCATGTGCCCTCACTTTTAAGTGGGACGTTGTGACATCAAAACTATACTTGTATATTATACTATCAAAGGAAAATGATGTCCTACCCACATTTGGTTGGTTATTATGCTTCAAATTATTGACCCCAATACCCCATGTCTCTATGTATGGATGATTCTTAGTGGGTGTGCTATCTCACTTCCACATTACTCTCTTTAAATAAGATATGGATCGAATGTCAAAAAGTCTTCTGCAATGTATCCGTGATCATAATAAATTATTTGTTATCTATGACTCCCTTTACTAGGAAAAAAAAGTTTGAAAATTGTTAATATGATTACGAAAGGGGAAAATCCGATATTTACTTAAACGCTCAATTAAAGATGATTAAAACAAAAGCCTATTCCCAAAAGCCTTCTCGTGGCTCCTCTCAATACAAAGGCTTGACTCTAATTGGCTTGAAATAACCCGATTTTGACATTTTCAATCAAGCTAATTTTCTCTTTGGTTCAAACCCCGACTTAGATTTAAGGGGGAAAAAAGCCCTACAAAACCCGACTTGATAAAAATCTTGGCTCAATTTTGACTCGACCCGACCGCCCCACCCCTTTGAACAACTCTCTTTATTTACAACATACTTAGGGTCTGTTCACATTTACTGAACTGAGCTGAACTGAACTGAACTGAACTAAGCTGAAATGAATATTTTATGAGAGAGGGAAATTAAGAGTTGAACTGAACTGATTGGAGCTGAACTGAACTGAACTGATTGGAGCTGAACTGAACTGAAATTAAGTAAATGTGAACAGACCCTTAGAATAGTGGAAAAAACAGCAAATTTAACGAAAATAAGGGGTTTGTGGTTTCCGCGTAGAGTTGGTTGTCTGCCTTGCTTAAAAAATAATGCTTTGTTTGGAATAAACAGAAAGGCCAACGTAAAAGTAGGGAACACAATATGTTTCGGGGTTTTCTGATGTCCTGCGGGAGAGTTACAATTCCGAGACTGGAACCGGACGCCTGTACCTGCAAAATAACGGAGACTCCTGAGAGCTCCGCCTCCAACGGTCAAGTTAGTACCTGATTAAGGAGTAATTAATACGGAAATTAAAGTAATAAGATCTCTCTAGGTGAGAGTGCTTAGTGTTGGTAATCTGCGTCGTTAGCGAGATTAGCCGGTTGTTGGTGTTCCGTAATATTTCTGTTCTTCTCTGCTTGATTACTTGATTCTTCGATTACCTAACTAATGAAGATTAATTAAGTATTTATAGCCTTGAGAAGCGTGCCACTCTCTAGGTTTAAGGTAAACCTAGGGCTGACCGGGCCTCTAGACTGGATTGGGCCTTGATGGCCGGTTTTCCCATTTGGCATGGGTGGACACGTGGCGTGTCTAAATTGGTCCGTAGAGGACGTATCTGTGATTGACACGCGGCAGGCTCCTGTTGGCCTTCGTGAAGGACACGTGGCGGAACCTGGTTGGTCCACTTGTCAGTCGGTGATTGGTGGATAAAAATCCCCTAATCATTTGCCCCTCACAGGTGGCACGTGACTGGTCACGTGTCGCCTGTGACAGGTGTCGCACGGTGACAGGCGACGGCCTGCTACAGGTGTCACCTTGCAAACGGCCGAGAGATTTTCCCGCCCAAATTTTGAATTTGGAAGCGACCTTTCGCCTTCTCACCTTGCCTATATAAGGAAGTGCTGACTTCGGTCATTTTCACATTTGAGAACTTTGCGAGAACATTCGGACCCCTGAACTTGCTCTGACATTTCGGACTTTTTCTGCCTACCGCCTGTTCTGACAAGCCGACTGACCCGGACTTCCAGGACTTCATCAACCGTCACTCGTTTAGGTAACTCAGTTCTCTTACTCTTAATTTTCTTTTTATTTTTTGAAATGGC